GTGGGCCAGATTATTCCGGTCGTGGAACGTGATATCCTTTATGCAAATTTCTGTGGATGCGTGAGTGCGTACGCGCGCGCAGATCCGTGCGGCAGGGAGCGACATTGTGCAACCCGATTAAAGCCGATAAAAAAAGTCAATTAAGTAACGCGAGCGACTACAGCTCCGAGTGCGAACGCAATTACGCCGAGAAATCTCTTCGCGATCCCGACGTCGCGATAAATTAAAAAACGCCGGCTGCGTACATTGTCTGCGAGTGTGCGATTGTAAATAGTATCTGGGTCGCGGCGGTAATATTTTCGCGCCATATAAATAAACCAAAGAGTTCTCAACGAAAAAAATAATTGGATCTCGCGATCCCGTCGAATTGAATTTTGTTAAGAAATAAAATTATTTTGTGTATGAAGTTAAAGCCATTCTGATTACACGTAATATTTATACGTTCTTTCCGTGCCTATTATACTCCGTTTAAGAAACTTTAAACTCGCCAAAAGAAACGTAATTTATTTATTTATTATTATTCCGTATTATAAAAAAGAAATTATTATAATTCATTATTAAAATTCAGCATAAGTGCTGAATTTTATTGTATCCTGTTAAGTCAAATTATCATGGAAAATGAGACTATTCAATATATTCAATTATGTATATAAATATAACAAATATTCTTGTTGCGATTAAAAGGAAAAAAATAAAGATATAAGAAGGTATTATAATATGATAAAGATAATTGTGATAATTGACTTAAAAAAAAAAAGATAATTACAAAATATTGAATGTACAGAACATTGACTATAAAAACATTAATTGTAAAGAAACGTTGACCGTCACGACAATTTAGCTTGAAATTAAACATCTCTCTCTCTCTCTCTCTCTCTCTCTCTCTCTCTCTCTCTCTTCCAAAGTGCGACCGGATTCGATTCGTGGAATTTGGGTGACCGGCTGAAAAATATCGAACCCGAGGATCGTCCCTGGTTCCGCACGGGTGTGGCTTGGCTAAACGACTTAATAAAAGTATACGCAATATCGCACGCACGTAATATGCATATAGCGACGATTAGCATCGATACAGAGCGAAGAAAAAAATCCATTAGCATGAACACGACTGTCCTTCGCGATTGTATCGCTTGATTTCGCGTTTATCCGCGTCCCTCCGTCTCCGCTCGTTTTTTCGACACCACGGGACCACTTTCGGTTTCGTCCCTCACGAGATCTCGCGGACTTTCTCGCAACGAAGCAGCTACGATATTACATAAGCGCAAAATGGCGAAAATTATGTGCCAAGATTTATGTGGCCGAAACGTGTTATTTAGGCGCTCGAGGATTGACGATTTGCAATGCTAATCGGATTAATGCGGACAATTCCATCGATTAACTTCCTCGAACATGATCAAAGAAACTTTTACTTCCTTCAACCGTGATTTTACCTGCTATATACATAATTACGCAGATATTGACTTCTTTATTGACATATAAATATATTGATAATTTTCTTTCGTTATTGTTTAATAACAAAAATTTTGTTAATAATAAAAATATATTTATTTAATTATTTTTCACAATATCGTCTGAAATATATTGGTTTTGTTGCGCTTTTAGTTAAGATTGGTCCTTGATAAAATATCCAAATATATTCTTATATGTCATAAAATTATGTAGCAACTGTTTACGTAATCTGATTAATAAACGGCTAAACACACTATCAGCAGAAAATGCTGTCGCGCGATTTGCCCCGCATTACGAAACGAGTATTGGATTTACATCATCGCGTTGTGTGTTCGCAAAAGCAAGCCGACGAGGTGACATGTCGAACGAAAAAAAAATCGGCATTAACTAACCCTTAATAAAAGGACGTTAAATCGTGGGATAAGCGGGTTCCGTTTGTGCACGCTCATGCGTGAAGGCATTAAACCACGGGATTAATAATCGGCATTCACGGTCGTCGCACGCAACCTGAACCCGACCGAACTCGCTCTTATTACGGCGACTAATGCGCTTGGCACGTATTTCTATAATTAGCGTGATAACATCGGCGCGCCGGTATCGCCGATCGTAACTCGAAAGAAGGAAAAAGGATCAACGGGAAGTGAAACCTGAGGCGTACTCTTTTTCTAATTTTATCGCGCAAGTTGGCTATTCGAACAAGTTTGTAAGGATGGTAAGAAGAAAACGAAAGGAACTAATGTAAACAGAATTTCACCCTGAATTTCACCCTGAGAGAAAAGTATTTGCTATTTGTGACCACCTATATAAATTATATATGGTAAAATAATTGTGATTAGAAGCTCCATTTTTATAAGTTGTTATTGATGCAATGTTAGTAATAATGATTATATTTGTAGTTTTATATATATATATATATATATATATATATATATATATATAGTTAGTTGTACCGAAAATGGCTACGCATTATGATAAAGATTAAATTACGATAATTGCAACTATTCTTCTCTCTCAGTGTACATACAAAAATGTAGGTATATACGAAATAATTCGTGTATAAAATGTAATGTTAAATATATATCTATAAGCGAAATATTTATTTAAGATGACAATTTTGTAGATTTATTTTTTAATATTTTAAACATTCGTTATTTTAAATGTTTTAGTAAATTTATTTTCTACTCTGTAGACAAATTTATAAAGATTAAAATGCTGTTCGAATTTTCTGTTTCAGATGACTATAAAAATTATTATCGCTTTCGTCAGCAAGACAGATTGTTTTCGCGTTAATAATATATATCAACATTATAACACAATGCCCTCTCAAACATTATCTCTGTTTCCGCGCACTAAATACATTATTGCTTTTTTAAATCTAATTGTTAAACTAATAAAGATTAATATATTTTTACAAGTTAAATTTAAAAAAATTGCAAACATATAACAAAATTTTATTTTTTGATTATTTCTTAAATGAATGTAATTTCTCAATAAAAATTAAATTCCAAGTTTAATTAAATATTTGATTTAATAATTAAGAAAATATATTTTCTTGTAAAAAAGATAATGAAGTCATTTTTAAAGTTGTAAAATCGAATCAAATTTCGTTGTTCTTTTCCGCGATACTGATTTAGTTCTCTCGTTATACGTCGTTTCGTGAGAAACTGTCATCGTAAAGATCGCTTATTGTGATAGTGAAAATATCGCAGAGGTTAATAGCATATGTATCTTTATTTGGCTTAAAAGAAAAACAAGATCACCCTCGTTTTGAAATTGTCTCGACAAGTGACACACGTATGATAAGAAATTGTAATTTGATTTTATTAAAATAAAAAATTTTCCGTTCAGTCAGTATAAAAAAAATTCAATTAGTATCAGGACAAAAATTATAACATATGTTCTTTACAGTTCAAATGCTGATGTGCAGTATATAATGAATTGATTTATTCCCATCTGTAGGTGATCATATCTTCTCTTCTCTCCAAGACAAATTTATATCAAACATATAAAATAGAGCCACTCGTGGAAAAGATAGAACAATGAAATGTGATTATTGATTTAACGTGCTTTTTCATTTTAACAACGGAGAATGTAAGCTGTTTCAACAAAAAATTGCAAACGTACACGGAATAAAATAATGCATTAACAGTATTTAATTAAAGATAATCTTATTAATTCAATGACAATATTAATGAAACAGTATTAATGAAACAACAAATGAGATCTTGTTTAAAAACATTATTTACTTCAATAAGATTAATATTGAATGATTATCATTGAGATAATTTGGTACAAAGATTACTTCCAATTAGACAGTTGAGTACTGTTAATACAAATAATTTTATTTTCCTTTTCCGTAATATTATTAATAATAACTATGCTATTGCAACATTTTTGAAATATAATATTGCAAAAATTTTTATTACGTATATATCTTATAACTCATTTATATTCTACATTTTGCAGTTAAAATAATGCAAATACACATTTCATTAATAAAACAAATGTAAACTATAAAAAAAACTGTGGAAAACTATGGAAAAATTCAAGTGACACAAATAACGCTAGATTCTTCTCTAAATTATACACCTAAAACTAAATTATAGATCAAACATATCGAAATAATAGTGAGCCGACACGGATGTTGGTGTGTATATAATAATTTTATTGTTACATTCTTCAGCCTCACACAAACTGCGCGCTGCAATTTTTTGTTGGTCTTAAAACACAGTTCTTACATGAAGCCGGAATCTACTGTAACGTATTAAATTGAAGAGCAATTTAACATTTTTGAATATATAGGGGGATTCTTATAGATGCTAACAAGCATCTATAAGAATCCTCATCCTCCCAAATCTGTAAAGAATTTTATTATAAAAAATTATATATTTTTCTTAGTATCTGAAAATGAATTTTCTCCTATTTTTTTCATTTTCAAATAGAATAGAACTTCGTTTATCCGCGCTTCATTTATACAAGTTTATTTTCAGTTCTAAATTTCAAATATATTCGAAATTATAACTGAGCTGATATTATCCAAATCATTCGATTGGTTCAGATAATAAGAGCTCGATATGCTCGGTTTCAGTTTATTGAACGTTAGCTCCTATTATCGGACCTAATATAAGTGAGCTCTATTATCCGAACTATCCTGTTATCGGAACTTGTCTCCCGATGTTCAGAGCTCTACTGTAATATCATTATTATTGCTCTAATATATTATTATTTATCAATAATGTGGTAAAAAAATAAGACAATAATAAGTCAATAATTAAAACAAATAAATTTGATAATATAAAGGGCTATATGTAAAGACAAACCAAAGCAGGAGTTAATGTTTTATATTTCTAATTAAATCATCTTGCTTTGGCTCGTTTATATCAAATTAATGTTTATATTTATATTATCAAATTTAGTTACTATTTGTCATTCAGTTCTAATTTTTATTGTAAAAAAAAAATAAACAGACGCAAATTTAAAAATACAAATTTATATAATTGTTAGATATGTTACATGCATTGTATTATCCATGAAATCAGTCATTTACGTTGATAAATATCGCTCAGTGATTCGAGTATTTCATTCAGGAAACGTATCCTTTTGTAGCCGTCTTCGTTATTCGACCTCGGAATCCGCCACGCATTTGTCAGGCTCGTCCTCCGCGATAACCTTCGTGAGAACTCGTCGAATCCGAGAAGAAATCGGACCGACAAATCGTTAATAACTATCGCGGGATAGATAGGTTTGAAGACGCCCCCGGGATCGTCCATATGAATGCAACGGAATTACGTTTGAAGGCATGGACGCCCGCAGTACCGCGCAAGATACCGGACAATATCGTGTCCTCGAGCTACACGAAGACGAAAGCGTTCGTGCCATCCTATGAAAAGTATGAATATTTATCGCATCTACTTTAGGAACCAGAGATATCGAAAAATTGCCTCGTGATTTGAAATCATTTTATTTTATATAATTGATGTAGGCAATATATGATCATACGTGTGAGACGAATAAATAATGGTTATTA